TGTGTCGGCTTGTGACCCTTAAAGTACATATGCTTTTTCATTTCACATTGAGTCTGTAGAGTTTGGTCCATATGATACTTACAAAAATGATGCACTTAGTAAGTGTGACTTCCACCTAAACATCAAAGTCCTGTGTTTCTCAGTGCCATGATGCTAGCCATATGAACATATGGATTTTGTGCAGCAGCACCAAAACTTGGCATTGCAGATCTTCAATGTCCAGTGCAGTGATATCCTCTCTAAGCATATTGTAAGTAAATTAGAAGTGAGATTTAAAAAATGGATGCTTAAAGTTAGACTCCTAATTCATATTTGGGTACCTAAATAAATGGCTTGTTTTTTCAAAAGTGCTGATCAGCTGCAGCTCCCATTGAAGTCAATAGGGGCTGCAGGCAGGGCCGTCTCAAGGAGGGTTTGGGGCCCGGGACAACCCCTGCTGGTGAGTGCAGGCCTGACCCCCGCTGCCAGCACCAGGCCTCCTGCTAACCCCGGCCAGCCTGGCCCCCCGCACCCTAACCCCTCCCCCCCCCGCCAGCCTAATGCCCCCGCACGACACGCACACAGAGCTGTCCCTAGGGTTCGGCTATTCGGGGTGGCAGCTGCAGGGCCCCCAAAAGTGCAGGGCCCAGGGTGGCTGCCCCGATTTGCCATACCCTAGGGACGGCTCTGGCTGCAGGCTCTCTGTACCTTTGAAAATCAGGCTGCTCTCATTAGCTACCTAAATATAGATTAGGAGCCTACTAAGCATCAATTTTGAGGTTTTTTTAAATAAAGTATCTTTTGTTGTATTCTTGCAGATTCTTTCCCAGTGTATTGCATGCCAAGAAAAGCACATTACTGTGAAAAAAGAACCACACGAATCCCTTGGAATGACAGTGGCAGGAGGTAGAGGCAGCAAAAGTGGTGAACTGCCAATTTTTGTTACTAGCGTGCAACCTCATGGCTGTCTTGCAAGAGATGGCAGGATCAAACGAGGTAGGATTTGACTCAGATGGCAGCATGTGCATCTTTCAGTTATTCTATTCATGAATTTGTTTTGTAAGGTATCAAAGTTTCTCAACAGATGTAGGGTAGCAATGATAAATGCTTCTCTCAAATATTCCACTTATGGAAATTCAGTGTACAATCCCACTCTTTCCCCTGGCTTGGGAAATGGTTGTGTAAAGTTGACTGTAATCCCCCTATGAGTTAAGAATCTTGTCTAGTGTTTTTCACTTCAGTACACACATCCTATTTTTGGTTTTGGTCACATTGGTTGGGCCCTGTAGCTGTCTGAGAAACCACTTCTGTCCTTGTGTAATATCTTCAGTACCCCAGTACAGTAAACTGATCTGTTCTGATCACAGGCACCTTGTTTAACTGTGCTAATAGCAGGGCATTTTCAGCAAGTGACCATCCTTTCTGTAATTCACTTTCCCCATCCTTTGTCAGACCTAGACTGAGTTTGCTGATCTTTGGGACAGGGCATCTGTTATCCCCGGCTTTTGAGAAAGGAATCGGGTAGGGTATTGGGGGGTGGGAGCAGGTGTGGGGTGGATGACGTTGGTAATCCTGCTGGGATAATGCTTAAGGTACAGCCTGACATTTTCCTGATTTATTTTTTGTAAAATGTTGTACATGCGCCTAAATCATATAAATACGTAATGCAACCCCATGCAATACTGCACTGACTTAGAAATCCTATGGGCCCATTCTGACATAAGGGCAAAGTCTGAACAGTAACTGAAGTGTGCAAATTTAAAATGAGGTAATGGAGAATATTTTTCATGACAGTGTAAGGTAGGAACATTAAATGCAATATACAAATGTGCACAGTATCTTTTTCTAAACATTATTTAAAAATCCATTTGTCGAAGCAACACTTGTCATTTTCTTCCTTTATGTGATGTTAAAGCTGCAACTGCAAAAGGAATTAGCCTTCCCTGCTATGCAAGTTTCTGGAAAGTGATTGATTCTCATATCTTGTGTAACTGAGTCCTGGATTTTGCTGATTTGTTCTGCACTGCAGCAGCAGCAATACTGTAACCACTCAGTCAATAAGAGACTCTCTCCTTCTTTTAAAATATTCTCAAGGAAAATCATTTTCAGCAATCTTTGTATTTTTGACTCTTTCCAGGTCATTATAATCTTTTTACAGATGCTCTTGCTTCCTCAGAGCTGATTTTTCCTTATTAATCTTTCCTGTGATCCCTGTTTTGTCTTTCCCAATTGGCAAAGCACAGACATGCAGTAGCATTGAAGTGTGCATGTGGGGGAGGAAGTGGGAGTACTCTTTTCATGCCCCACTTGCTGTGTTACCTTCTGCAAGACTTCCCCTCTGCCTCATGGGTACATTACACCTTTTGCCGTTCCTTTTCCCCCTTCCCTTTAAACCCTGAGGGACCACTATGAGGAATGGGATATATTAAGAAAAGGAACACAAAGCTGGAAAAGTCACACAAAAAATCCCTAATGGTGAGACTAGTTTCCAGAGGGAGTGGTGAAAGCTCCAGTGTTCAAGTCATTTAAATGTGGACTGAACAGAGCACTGGAGGATATACCATAGAGGTCAGCTCTATTCTGAGGCAGGATTAGTGCCTGACCTAATAGATCATTTCCACCTCTGATTTGCATGATAGCAGAGCACGCTAGCCAAGCATAGTGTTTCTGTTTCTGCTGAGATATGCAGCAGTGAAATAGTTTACGCATTATCATGTTTAAATTGTCCGTATGAGGCTGTAGAGTTAATACACTGCAGTTCACAGCTCTGAGAGTTACTGTTTCTGACTGTCTAGGCCCAGGGAGATAACACATTGACGTGAACAGACACTGAGTAATGTGTTATAAGTACAGGCCAGGTATTAGCACAGGAAAACAAGTATTCAATAGGCCACATGACTTACACTCTTATTTATGCCTTTTAAACAGGTGATGTGTTGCTGAATATTAATGGCATTGACCTGACCAATCTAAGTCATAGTGAGGCAGTGGCTATGCTCAAAGCCAGTGCTACCTCTTCAGTGGTGGCACTCAAAACATTGGAGGTTCAGATTGTTGAAGAACAAACCCAGACTAATGAGGAACAACCAAGCACAATCAGCGAAAATGAATATGATGCTAGCTGGTCACCCTCATGGGTCATGTGGCTGGGGCTTCCCAGGTACTAGTTAATGAATGATCTGTTTAAACTCATGTTTACACTGCTGTTATAATATTAACTCTTGCATTTGGCTGTGTCATTCTCCTGACATTTTTCAGTTTGCTATAAAATATTTGTGTGACGTACATAGGGCTGAAGCAATATGTTGAAGAGTTTCTTTCTTATACATGCGTTCAGATACAAGAACAGTTCATTTTTAGTGGGGATTTACTTTATGCTGCTGCAGCAGTTTTAATTAATATCATGTTAAAACTGATTTAAACTCTAAAACAGAGAACAGCTTAGTTACAGTACCTGCTTCACCCTATTGCTGCCAATCTATTGCAGACACATTCAATTTACAAAGGATTGTACAGCAAAAGTATCCTGTTAGCTAGCCGGAAGATAGAAAACACTGATTATCCCTTCAGAAACTTTGGGAAAAGTCTAACACTAACCAATTCAATTCCCCCAATGAATGTAAGCTGTCCTTTAAAACTCGGGCTTAACTTAGGGATGAAAACAGGAAACATAGAGCGCTTACCCAAATCACCCTATATTAATATAAAAAACAAAGTTTAGAAAGGCAAATGAATAACTTCATAGAATGAAGATGTGGCGTATTGGATCACAGAAACCCCCTTGGGAGCTGCCACCTAATGTACCAAGACTACCCCTGCTCCTGTTTTCCCTGACAGCTCAGGACTCCAGCTCCTGTCTTGCTGAGCCAGATACTCCCATCTGCTCCAACACAGACCCAGGGTCTGAATTACTTGCCCCAAAGCTGCAGGTTTACCTGAAAACAGCTCACAGAAGTGTGCTTGTCTTTAGCACTCAGATGCCGAACTCCCAATGGGGTCTAAACCCAAATAAATCCGTTTTACCCTGTATAAAGCTTATGCAGGGAAAACTCATAAATTGTTCGCCCTCTATAACACTGATAGAGATATGCACAGTTGTTTGCTCCCCCAGGTATTAATACATACTCGGAGTTAATTAATAAGTAAAAAGTGATTTTATTAAATACAGAAAGTAGGAGTTAAGTGATTCCAAGTAGTACAGACAGAACAAAGTAAGTCACCAAGCAAAATAAAATAAAATGCGCAAATCTATGTCTAATCAAACTAAATACAGATAAGATCCTCACCAGTTCCAGAATGCTCCCTTTTACAGGCTAATCTCCTTTTAGCCTGGGTCCAGCAATCACTCACACCCCCTGTAGTTACTGTCCTTTGTTCCAGTTTCCTTCAAGTATCCTGCGGGGGGGAGAGGGGTGGAGAGGCTCCTTCTTTACCCAGCTGAAGACAAAATGGAGGGGTCTCCCAGGGGTTTAAATAGACTTTCTCTTGTGGGTAGAGACCCCCTCCTCACCCTGTGTAGAATCCAGTCACAAAATGGAGATTTGGAATCACATGGGCAAGTCACATGCCCATGCATGACTCAGGACTTGCAGGTAGTAGCCATTACCCACATGCTACCTTGAACTTCCTCAGGTAGACTTCTTATGTGGATTGGAGTCTTCCAAGCTCTTTTGTCTGTTAAGTGCTTCCTGATTTAGCACCTAATTTGCACATTCCTTTCCCAAGAAGTGACCAAATGTTCTAACTAAGGCTACTTAGAAATCTAAGGCTACTTAGCAATTATACAGCCAGTGTTCATAACTTTGAACACACAAATGGTGCCTGCATACAACTAGGATGAACATAACCAGTAGATCATAACCTTTACATAGATATGTTACTTGGCATATGTAGCAAAAACCTATTCCAGTTATATCATACATACATTTATAAGCACCCCCCATAAAGCCTTATGGGGTACACTGTCCCAGAAGGATATAACCTTCACTGATCATTGACTTTTATCACACAGGTCTTAGGCACATATGCAGAAAGAAGTTAGAACAGATCAATCTGCATTCACAAATCTCACACATATATATAATTCAGAAAACCAGCCACCACTCTATCAAACACAAATACACCCGCAGCAAACCCACTTCCTTTTCCTAACTTTTGGCCTGACTGATATCACCAGATTTAACTTCTCATCCCATTCTTCACTCTCTGGTAGCTATATCGACAAACTGTGGGCCTAATTCTGGGAAACACTTACGATCAAGGATCGTGCTTAATACTGTGCATAGTCCTATTAACTTCAATCACTGTGCACAATAGTAAGGGTTTCCAGGATTACACCCACGGTTTGCGGATGTAATCACAGAGAGCATGTAGAATGTGATGGATGGTAACAGAATGAAATCCTGAAGTCATCATCATAGCAGATTGCTCCAAAACCACAGCCAAGATCGTTGTTGTCACTTATCTCGAGTAGTTCCTCTGGAGTAGGGGATGTTGACGGGGCACTGTGGTAGGGTTCAAGTGTTTTGCCTAGGCTCTCCACATTCACATCTGGAGTCATTCCTCGGCTTCCACTTGGTCATATTGTCATCAGTCTTTGCCACCTCAGCTCTCACTCAAGTTAGAATACACCATTGTTTTCATTTGAGGTCAGTAGCTGGAGGGAGTTGTTCTGAAAGAACCAGGTTCTCCAAGATCATCGACATTTCCCGCCATTTTGTTACTCTGTAGCCTTCCACAATGGTATTTTGGGGTAAGGGACTTAGAGGCAAAGCTCTTTCTGGACTTCAGCTTCTTGGGTGGTGGAATGTGTCCATTCAGTGGCTGTCTTGAAACATGCACCTGTTTTTGTGTCTCCTTTTTACTGAAGGCATCCCGCCTCACTGATGGTGATGCAATCCCCGCGAGGCAGTATAGTGACAATGTGGGAGTCGCTCTCAAAGTCCCTCTGATGATCCTACAGGATTGATTTGAGTTCAGTATCAGTTTTGTGTGCATGGCTCGAGCGTGACCATACATGGGGTCATATCAGATGCATTCACATCATGACCCATGTTAATCTCCCATTGCAACTAACCATGGGAGAAACCAAATCTGACAGTCAGCATTGAAACCATAATATAAATCTAAAGTGATTATAACTACACACAGTAACAAGCCACTTCCCTTGGTAAAAAGGGCTTTCAGGATCAGGCCCTCATTGATTTCCTCTAGTTTTTTCTGTACAAGATGTCTGTATGTAACTTCCTGTAAAACAGTCATAATGTCTTGTGAGTTATACAGCTATAGTAAACTGCTTTCAAGTCTGATAAATAACTCTGCTTAACAAGAGCTGGCAGTCATTTATTGCTCACATACTACAAACAACCATATTTTGCTGCTAATTATGTCTTATATGCTACAATGCATGGCACAACATGATTAATGTAGAGAAGCAATGGTTAGGCATACCTCAACATTTTCTGCTTCTCTGGATTTGAATAAAGATTTTCTGTGAAAAGAAAAATATTCTTTAATTCAACACTTTTGCATATGCATTACCACTTTTAAAAGTGTGGTGATAGTCAGGAAAGTGACTCTCATATTATATTTATATATATATATATATATATATATATAAAATATGTGTGTGTGTGTGTGTTAGGGCTATCGATTAATTGCAGTTAACTCATGCGATTGACTCAAAAAAAAATCACAATTTAAAAAATTAATCATGATTAATCGCAGTTTTAGTTGCACTATTAAACAATAGAATACCAATTGAAATGTATTAAATATTTTGGATATTTTTCTACATTTTCAAATATATTGATTTCAACAACAACACAGAATATAAAGTGTACAGTGCTCACTTTATATTATTTTTTTATTGCAAATATTTGCACTGTGAAAATGATAAACAAAAGAAATAGTATTTTTCAGTTCGCCTCATACAAATACTGTAGTGCAATCTCTTTATCGTGAAAGTGCAACTTACAAATGTAGATTTTTTTTTAATATAACTGCACTCAAAAACAAAACAATGTAAAACTTTAGAGCCTACAAGTCCACTCAGTCCTACTTCTTGTTCAGCCAATTGCTAAGACAAACAAGTTTGTTTACATGTACAGGAGATAATGCTGCCCGCTTCTTATTTACAGTGTCACCTGAAAGTGAGAACAGGCATTCACATGGCACTTTTATAGCCGTCATTGCAAGGTATTTACGTGCCAGATATGCTAAACATTCGTATGCCCCTTCATGCTTCGGCCACCATTCCAGAGGACATGCTTCCATGCTGATGATGCTTGTTAAAAAATGTGTTAATTAAATTTGTGACTGAACTCCTTGGGGAGTTTTGTAAGTCTCCTGCTCCGTTTTACACGCATTCTGCCATATATTTCATGTTATAGCAGTCTTGGATGATGACCCAGCACATGTTGTTTGTTTTAAGAACACTGTCATTGCAGATTTCACAAAATGCAAATAAGGTACCAGTGTGAGATTTCTAAAGGTAGCTACAGCACTCGACCCAAGATTTAAGAATCTGAAGTGCCTTCCAAAATCTGAGAGGGATGAGGCGTGGAGCATGCTTTTAGAAGTCTTAAAAGAACAACATTCAGATGTGGAAACTACAGAACCCGAACCACCAAAAAAGAAAATCAACCTTCTGCTGGTGGCATCTGATTCAGATGATGAAAATGAACTTGCGTCGGTCTGCACTGCTTTGGATTGTTATCGAGCAGAACCCATCATCAGCATGGACACATGTCTTCTGGAATGGTGGTTGAAGCATGAAGGGACATATGAATCTTTAGCGCATCTGGCACATAAATATCTTGCGACACCAGCTACAACAGTGCCATGTGAATGTCTGTTCTCACTTTCAGGTGACATTGTAAATAAGAAGCGGGCATCATCATCTCCTGCAAATGTAAACAAATTTGTTTGAGCGATTGGCTGAACAAGAAGTAGGACTGAGTGGACTTGTAGGCTCTAAAGTTTTATATTCTTTTATTTTTGAATGCAGGGTTTGTTTGTTTTTTTTACATAATTCTACATTTGTAAGTTCAACTTTCATATAAAGAGATTGCACTACATTACTTCTTATGGGGGAATTGAAAAATACTTTTTCTTTTGTTTTTTACAGTGCAAATATTTGTAATAAATAAAGGGAGCACTGTACACTTTGTTTTCTGTGGTGTAACTGAAATCAATATATTTGAAAATGTAGAAAACATCCAAAAATATTTTAATAAATGATATTCTATTATGATTAATCACAATTACTTTTTTTAATCACGCAATTAATTGTGATAAATTTTTTTAATCGCTTGACAGCCCTAATATATACATACATATAAATAAATAAAAAATATGGCACATTTTTACCCAACAGATTTTCTCTTTGTGCATTTTTCAGTCATATCTCCTGTTTTATACTACTTGTTTCACTATTGTAGGTATTTCAAAGCCAATACGGCTACTCAAATGCAATCTGAATTATTTATACTCTGCCTTTTGCGTCATCTGATTGCAAAATTTTAATTACTGGTAGTGATGAATCAGGAAGAGGCAGAAAGAAGACAGATGGATTTTCAGATCCTAAATTCAAGATGGAAAATCCTAAACTGACAGAAAAATCATCTTTCGTTTTGCAAATAAAACATTGGATATGGAAGCTGGTGGGGTGTGGGGGGGAGGATAAATATAAAACCCCACAACATCATTTTAGAAGTGTCACTTTCTAGATGTAACTGTATTTAAGCAATAATTCCAACAGTACATTCTTTATGTTTAATACTTTTTTACCTCCAGAATTTTTTTTGTAATTTTAAGCACACAGTAGTAAAGATGGTTAAATATTACAAGATGATTCATCCTGGGAACACTGTTAATTACCATCCTTTACCCACCGTTACCCCTTCTCTTTCGTGCTTATTGCAGTGATGCGATAGAGCAAGTGTTGCACATAACGTGAAAATATTTACATGGCATGTGTTTTTCTCCTCACCCCACAGCGGCCTACATAGCTGCCATGATGTAGTGCTACGGAGGAGCAATTTAGGAAGTTGGGGCTTTAGCATCGTTGGTGGATATGAGGAGAATCACACAAACCAGCCTTTCTTCATTAAAACGATTGTTCTTGGAACTCCAGCATACTTTGACGGAAGGTTAAAGTAAGTACTACCGCATCTTTTTAAATGATATTAGAAGTTGGATGGACAGTGATGATAAGGCATATTGCATGAAGTGATTTGTTACATTACATATAACCCTTGGGCCACTGACTGATATCCAGTGTTTCTTGGGAGCTGGCCAACTCCCTATAGCAGCTTGGCAAGTCTACTAGGTGCAGTGCTGAGAAGTCAGAAGGATTTTTGGCTGGGGGAAGTGGGATCAGTCAGAACTTGTGGGAGCATCTAGTCCCAGTCATTCTTCCTTCCCCCACCTTTCTTTGGAAACACGTTTCACCATCAGGCAGTAGTGCTGATTTGACCCATCTCCCCCATCACCTCTACTGATTCCTTGACTCCTCCATTAGGCCAAGACCCAGCCTGGGAGGAAATATCTTGCCCAGGATTTGGAGCCGGGAAGTGAGCATGTTGTATAATGCTCTCTGCCTACTTTGAGGAGGATTACGAAAGCTAGAGGAGCTTCATTTTATAATAGAGGTGTGGGGAAGCAGGTGGAGAAGAGGCTAGAGCAGTATCTAGTCAAGATCACTGTGAGAGGCAATCAACATGCAGGGTCCAATTTAATAGGATCCCCAAATATGGCATTTAGGGTGTTTGTTTTGGCTGAATTTAGGGTCCCTCCAGATGCAGGATTTGAAATGCCTATTAAAGATTCCCTCGTTTGTAAATTGAACATCACGAAGGTTTGATAATATGAGTAGAAGATTGTACCATATTTGTTTTACATACAGGGTAGATCTGAATCATGATGATTACAAATTAAGGAAGGCTTAATCTATTTTCAGAACAGCTTAATGCATGTTTCCAATGACATGGCAGTGACTAGAGGCCATCTTATGACTCAGATCATAGCAATAGCTAAGCTGCTAAGAGTGATACTCTGTGGTTTTGGGAGCTCTGTATGACTCTTGGAGGTTTACTACGCAATAATCTCTGTATTTCTATTTCGTTACAAAGTGTCTTAAGAAGAAAATTCGTTTTATAATTTTGCATGCCTTATTCCTAAGAATGGGGTTTCCCTGCTCATATACATTATGACTGTATACCAGGATCCTAACAATTTTTAAAGGCCCTTAAATATCAAATAAAATAACATTCTCAGGCTCTTAAGCATACTGTATTTTTTTGTTTTATGGTCCTATACATTACTATTTTTATTTTAATATACAATTACATTTAAAACAACTATATTAAAAGAGAATTGAGTTCTTGACTTTGTAACCTTAAAAGTTAGGAAATGTTCTCCCCCCTCACTCTGCTCCTCACCACTCTGAGTCAGGCTGCTTCCTCCTACCCTGCCTATATAGGAACAAAAGGAATATTGAGAATAAAAGACAGAATTCTGGTGTCCCCCGCAGTCAGGAGATGCAATTGCAGGGAAATTACTCCTCATCCCCTGCAATGCAGTGCTGGAGCATGCTCAGTAGCCCTGTGGGAATAGAACATATACTGTCAAGTCACAGATAGGAGCAGTGTGGGGATAGAGGCCTGTAACCTAGCCCTGCCGCCCAGGGTTGAAGTCCTTGGGCTTCGGCCCCGGGCGGTGGGGCTCGGTCTTCGGCTCCAGGCCCCAACAACTCTAAGCCAGCCTTGGGACTGGCTTTTTAATGGGGTTGCAACCCACTTTGGGGGGTCCCAACCCACAGTTTTGAGAACCGCTGAGATAGAGCATGCTGAGTGCAGAAAGAATCTAAAGAGAATGTAGCTGGTAAACTCAAACAAGTGTCTATCAAGCATGTACAAACTGAGATTTGTCAGATGTTTATAACTTGACCAAATTTGGGCAAATTTTCACATGGATGGCAAAAGGTGCTTTCCCTGCCTAATTTTAAATCTCTGCTCCAAAGCATGGAGACAGTAGATCTCAATGAAATGGTTGTAGGAATTTTTTTAACATGGGCAAAACAACGTATTTTCCCTTAACCTCATTTTTGGAAATAGTTGAGCCATTTAGTTGAAACTTTCCTTTACCAGACTTAACCATTCAAGCTAAAGTTTCCCATGCCAGGTATCTGCCGCAGAGAGAGAGAGTGTGTGTGTGTGTGTGTGTGTGTGTGTGTGTGTGTGTGTGTGTGTGTGTGTGTGTAACTTTACCAGACTTAGCCATTCAAGCTATACACACACCCTGAGGCAGACATCTGGCATAGGAAACTTTATCTTGAATGGTTAAGTTTGGTAAAGTTATAAGCAACTGAAAACAGGGTCTTATGTTGGAAAGTGTTGAGCAATTTTAACTATAGGTGTCACTGCTTTTGCCAGCTACAATAAATGCATATTATATGTAAATGTGTGTTATAACCCTATAAACATGTATATGTTTTTATCATATAAACATGTATATTGTAAGTCTGTCTATATATGTTTTTATTATCCCCTACTTAACCCTGGTAAATGATGACTTTTTCTCTCTCCCTCTCCCACTCTTGCATCAATCCTGGTATCTTTCCACAGGCAAACTCTTAAAGCTAGTGTTGGAATTACGCCAGAGTTGAACCCCAGGGGTTCAAGAATTCCCCGTACTAATTACAATGGGAGGTCAGACTTCATTTTTTTTAATTGAATGCTTTTAGCTCTTGCAGCTGAACTCCAAGTCCAATAGAAACCTGAGGCCCTAACTGTGAAATGCCATCTGTTACTCATTGTTGTGTTAGAGTTGTTGTGCACCATTGTTCATCAGCTGCTTTCCATTTTGTTTCCTTTTTTAGGTGTGGTGACATGATTGTCGCTGTAAATGGACTATCCACAGTGGGCATGAGCCATTCCTCACTAGTTCCTATGCTGAAGGAGCAGAGGAACAAAGTAACTTTGACTGTTGTTTGCTGGCCTGGAAGCCTCATATAGATTTGTAAAACCGCTTTGGTTCAAGCAGATGATTTTCTACGTGGCTGGTATAAAGCCTCCATTTTTTTTCTACTGATACAGCTGGTAATAAGCAGGGCCAAAAACTGCTACATTCATTTTTTTAAAGGGGGGGATTCTCAACCTCTTTACTGTACGTATGTTGCCATCTTGAAACAGCCATATCTACCGAATTTGTTGTGCTCATTGTTTAAGAGCTGGCACATGCACGTTAAGATGTTATTGTCATTAAGCCTTCCCAGACAGTAATAGTCTGACAGTCAGCAGAAGAATTCTGTGGTATTTCTAGTTTCTCTTAATATTTTTCCAAATTGAAACGTAAAATGGTAAGCTATGTACTCTCTCTTCCTTGAGAGAAGGTTCATGTCAGTAATGCAATTAAAGTTCTACTCGTTGCTGCCGTGAATCAAAATTGGTATAAAAAGGAATGCATTTTTCATTTTTTGTAAATATTTTCATTTTGTTCCAGTATGTTAAAACCATTCAAGGATCTGTCTTACTCATAAGAAAGTGTTTGGTCCCATGGTTTTTGTTGCAGGTCATCAGTGTTCACAAAAGAGTAGGACAAAAGCCTGATATTACTGGAATTTTTATAAAGTGCAATAATCGGACTCTTTGCTAGAAAACGATTTAATATATTACAAAGTTTGTATCCTATAATGCAAAGGAATATGGAAGTAATCAGTCAGAATGCTGGCAACAATAAATATGCCTGGGTCACCTTTGATCGAACAGCCTGCTGTATTAGAGTTTACTTTCCAAATGAATGTTTTGCTATGTCAGAAAATTTTGATGAACATTTTTACTAAAACCATTTTTACAGTTTATATTGTGATTGTCAGTAGCTCTTTTTATTCTTATGTAGAAACATTATTGTGACTCAACCTGTAAATCAGAGAGGTATTTAAAATAAAAAAGAAGAAAGCTGTTTATGACAGTGTACATTACCGTTTAAAAGTAAGGAGGCTGGACTCCAAGTGCAAAGGGAGCTGCAAAGTTTTACTTATTCTATTACTTGCTGACAATGCCTTCATATAAAATGTTGAAAAGATCTGTCTTGTATTTGAGAAATCATTTTTCTTTGGCAAACACTTGCCACTCGATTGTTGACAACTATAATATTTTCTAACTTTTAATTATGTTTAGCATTTTTAAAGCAAACCTATCACTTGCAGGTTTTGCTTTGTCCATAACGTTTGCAGGATAAGCGTCCTTTTGTAAAAGAACACCAACTAATGTGCTGATCTGGAGCAAAATCTGTACATTGTTAATGTTCTGCATACTTGAAAAAGCGTTCCATTTAGAAACCAAGTTCAGAATCTGAGCTAATTTATGAATGACCTCTCTGTTGTAATAATGATGGTATTAATTATCAGCGAATGTATTTCATAATCACTGCATATTTCAATTGTGAAGCATGAACTTTATTTTCAGACTTAGCAGCTATACTATTGGGGCATATTATCGCATGTCACTGATTCCAGTAGCTTTGTTTAAAAAATAAAGCTACCATCTCTTGCAAAAAATGTAAAAGCTCTTATGAATGAAGTAGTTTTATTCCTCTCTGTGGTGTCTGATGTTTGTTTGCTTTCACACTATCAGGACACAAATCAATCGCCCATGCAGTATATTACTGTATAGAAAATATTTGTTTTTGAAGCAGTCAGAGGCTACATTTCTTTGATATCCCTAGCTGAGATGAGAACAAGTTTCCTCCCATCCAAAAATAGTTTAACTGTATATTTTGTTTTTAATGCAAAGTTTTGCCAACTACGTCTTTGCATAGCATTTACAAAATATAGTGACCGGTGTGTTGGATTTAAAATATTTCATTTGAAGTGACATCATACTCAAAATCTGAGCAAAAATCAAACTTTTGCCCTTTTTTTCTCTTGTATCATGAAAGCATGGTTAAGCTTAAGTTGTGCTATATATTTTGTTCCACTGGGCAATAGCTTTTGATCACAATGTCTTGTGACAGAAACTTGTTCTGAAGGGGCTCCCTCTCTTAAACTAATGTGTTTTTTGGGGGGGGGAGGGGGTCTCTTATGATCTTGTGGTTAGTTTATCGGGTTTATTCTTCTGTGCCTTCTGTTTAAATTATTTCAAGATTTTTTTTTTCAGATGTTGCTTTCTAATTGTGTGGTATTATTGAAGAATGAATGAAAATAAAAGTCCATTCTACCCATTTTAACAGCTCAGTATTGTCTCTCTTTACAAAGAATGTATGTAAATGAATTCATCACCTTCAGTTTAGGGATATATTTCTCTCTCTGGTTAAACACAAGTTATAGTTCTAGAACTTTACAGAAAAATCTCAGAGCACATTCATAAGAAAATAGGAATATGAGACTCACGAGACTGGAACACCTCAGTTATCTGTCTAACTCGCATTCCAGCAGTGGGTAATATCAAAAAGCTTCAGAAGATGATGGAAAACCCACACATTCTAGTACTCTACCACCAGGGTGCTGATCATCAAGAGGATTCTGCCATGAGCCAGTTTTGGCACAGGGAAACACAACACAACCTTGCTGGAAAGACAGCTTTATGCCCTCAAGCAGGAGTCATTCTTTCTAAGAAAGATGAAGAGCAACCTTTTTAAGATCTGATTAAGCCCTCACTAGATGTGCTGGCCAGATCCTAGATTGTGGTTCTTGATCGGACGTGGTCCAATAGATAGAAGGTTAAGGAAGCCTTACACTGGATAAGAGATTACCTGAAAAAAAGAAAAAGATCTGCAGAATTTGCCAATATATCAACTCCGGCACTTCTCTCTAGTGTGAAGGGTAAGGATTTTGATGTATAGACTGATACAGCTGCTGCATCTGAACACACACACATCCATTCCATTAGGTCCTGGACCTAGTAATCTGTATACTTTGTCTTCCCAGAAGTAACAGCCTAAGCAATCATATGGCTCTTTAGCTAAGATTATAAAACAGTTTATTTTGCCTCCTGGCATACTAATGAAGCAAAATCTGCAGGGTCATGATTTCACTGGATCAATTTCTGTTTGAGGGAAAAATTCAATATTGCAAAACTGAAAGTTCTTCTAAAATGCATGCAAATCTAAACCCACTTTCCAGATTTGTTGTGTAGCAAACAATACTGTAAACAAGGCAAGTTTCACCGTAGTGATCTTCACTTGAGTCTCGTTAAATACTGAAGATATTTTTCTCTTCATATTTATATTATGTGCATGGTCCACTTTCAAGTTCTGGGATGCAATTCCAGACCAGTGAGGGGTTGTGACACCACTTGCCCTGCATCCATAGGTGCCTTACAATGCCTTACTGCTCTAGCTCCCAGCCTGGGATGCTCACAACCAGCCTACAAGCATGCAGATCACACCTGAGTGGAGGCGGAGTTCATCAGCTCTGACCCCAGCAGCCTGTTTACAGCCCCACTCTGGCTTCCACCAGCCTGGGTTACTACTTGCAGGGTGGCCCCAATACACTTCCAATCCCCTATTTTCCCAAAACTGTGTGCTCTACAATGTCCAGCCCTCTTCTGGGCAGTTAAGAGAAATAATATGGTTCATTTGTTCCTCTACAGACACAAGAACACATCACAGCATATTAATTTAACTGGTCTGAGCACACCCTACCTTTTAAACACAGCACTAAGTTGGTTTATAAATGAACTAAATTTATTAACAAAATATACATTGGATATAGTGAATTCAAGTATAAGGAATAAAGTTAGAACAGGTTACAAACAAACAAATGAAAACACGCATCTAAAAATCTAAAACTTAATTTAGCAAGGTACAGGCCTTGTTCAAGATGGCTTCTCTCACCAGCCCTTCCTCCCAGTCATGGCTGACTTTCAGTCAGAACCTTCCACAAAAGTACAAGGTGCTGGCTTCCCTTGTCTCCTTAGGTGAAAGATCTTTATCTAAGCAGGTTTCTCACCTATATTCAGTTCCAAAGACTTAACCCTCTCTTTCCCCCTTGGGGGAAGGACCCATCTTTCTCAACTTACAAGTGTCTGGCCTCTTGTGTCTGTCTAGTGATGGATGCCAAAGATGGCTTCTGTCCTTGCTTATATCTTACAAAGTTCAATGACTTTATTTCGCGAGGCAGGATGACCTCATGCTGTTCTTCTCTGCCTATTGGTTTCCTGCCCTGTATGATTTCAATATAAATGGGGCTTCCATTGTTTCTGATTCCACCATGCTTAATTTACATAGGAGACAGGTAGATGGCTGTGAAACTCCCTTGTATCTCGGCCGACTGTACAGCCTAATATCAGTGAATATCCATAACTCTTACATTATGTTAATACCATACATTGCACAATGATATTGATCACCAGTGTGTCATTAGCTTTCAGAAAACCTCACACTATATACTCTTATAATACCATAATATTGTATACAATCCGTTGATTCAGTTGCTTATCACTTGAGGTTCAGCCCCCCCGTCTTTATAGACCAGTAAACCATGGAATGGATTCTTCTGAGGGTTACCCTCCAAAGTAAAGTTTATTCAAGCTGTGAGGATGGCAACATGGAGTCTGGTGGTGAAGGAAGCTCCATGCTCTTTCTTCCCCCACTTGAGTTGGCAGGAAACAGAACAATTTGCATTTCAGCAATCTTCCCCCCCGCAGTCTCGATGGTCTTGTTTCTGCTTTATATGTAAATATGGACCTTCATTGTCTTTGCCTGAATATCAGGCTGGTCAGAGAATCAAATCTACATTACTTTGTCAAAGATGGACATGTTTAACAACTCCCTCTGATATACCTGTTTTACACACATTATAGTCATACTTCCAGCATATACACATCATCCAAGAATATTAATGATCAGTGAGTTATTAGTTTTCAAATGATACCTCCCAAGGCATATTTTGTCCACAATTATTATAATAATACATAGGGTGTGAGTACAGGATTGCTTAGTGCCCCAGCCTCTCAAGACTAATAATCAGTACAGTACATATACCACGGGTCGGCAACCTTCGGCACGTGGCCCATCAGAGTAATCCGCTGGTGGACTGCAAGACGCTTTGTTTACGTTGACCATCCGCAGGCACAGCCCCCCGCAGTTCCCAGTGGCTGCAGTTCGCCGTTCCCAGCCAATGGGAGCTGCGGGAAGCGGCGGCCAGCACATCCCTGCAGCCCATGCTGCTTCCCGCAGCTCCCATTGGCTGGGAACAGCGAACCGTGGCCACTGGGAGCTGCAGAGGGCCATGCCCGTGGACGGTCAATGTAAACAAAATGTCTCATGGCCCATCAGCAGATTACCCTGATGGGCCACATGCCCAACGTTGCCAACTCCTGACATATACAGTGCAATTGCTAGTGTTCTAATAACAATTTTGATTGTAAAGATTGGTTCTTTGTTATATCGCTGCTGAGAAAAAATCCAGACAATTGGTAACTCAAAGATATCTAGAGGCTTGCCAGGTAGGTTAGCTACTGTAATATTTTGAAATGGCACAAGTGTGACCCCAAGCTTGAGGCCATTCATGGAATTTGTTGCCCCACAAACAGTATTTGGCATTGTTTTGTGGTTGCAGATGTGGCTGGGTTGGTAAGTTCAGTTCTTAAACATCTATAGTAAGGATGTGCACTCTCAAATGATTTCCTTCTGTTTACATTAAGACAGGGGTAAAGGGTTCTCAAAAGATCTGAATCATAACTATTTGCTTACTCAGATCTGCATTTGCACAATACTAAACCAATGCATTTGAGAAGCTATCTAGCAGCCTCCGCTTA